AGAACATTAGATTATCTGACATTCTCTTCTTGAGACACAAGTTACTTTATGTGAAAAAGTACTTGCTCTCTGTTGCCTTGGCAATGACTTAAAAGGGTTTATCTTTACTCAGGTGACTACAGTACAACAGCTTCCCTAAAAGCATTAGGTAGTCTACTTGTCAGCCACAGCAGGCTGTTCTCTACCACATGTTTTGTACCTAAATACCCTAGAAATCCAAGCTCGTTGATACAGTCCACACAAAGAAAACTGAAGAAGTATGAACTATTACACCGCAATAACCTTTAGGCAATCTCTGAGCAGTTTAGCTTTACAAGTAGGAACATTTCAGTTAGTTGCAAAGGCTTCCCAAAGGGAATGACAATTGTATTTAGCTTTGTCAGCAATTTTATTTTTCTTAAAAAGTCAGTATTTAAAAATAAGCGAGATATGAGATTTCCCCTTGTGCACTGCCGTATGATTTCTGCTGCCCGTACACCTCTTACAGAAGTCTCTTGTCTGGTTTCAAGAAGAAAAAGGGTTGTGCTATGTGTACTGATCTTGGCTCCGTCTGCTGCTACACAGTAGCCACTGCCTGCCTTATACATGGTCTGCGCTGCTCCATCACTTAAAACAACAACTCCAGCTGCCTGCATGCACACACCGTGCAGGGAACCGATATGCCTGATCCTCAGTAAACTAAAACCATTCAGAAACCAGGGTTACTCACACCTGTTAGAGGCTGAAGCTTAGCAGAAATACCGCAACGTAGAGTAAGCTAATGGGTGGGTTAAAAAAGCCCTGAGCAGGCAGGCATGGAGATAAGGGGGGATTTTTTTTTTTCTTTCTTTTAAACATCAATCAGGAAATACAATTGTACAATCACTTTTCAAGAAGTAATACAATAAGAATGAATGTGTTGGGGTGGAATAATAGAAAAGGGGGGGGGGGAAGAGGAGAAGCACTAAGAATTAAGCCATTATTAAACAAAAATGTGGTGTTTTGAAATGAAACACTGATATCAAAATTGTAATCTCAACTGAAGTTAGAAATGAATTCCCCCTGACTTCAACTTTCCTATTCCAGACACACTTTAACTCATGGGTATTTAGACCAACAGTCTTTCTATAGCTTGCTGGACAGACTGGATCTGAGGCTTTAGCTGTGATCCTTCCTTGATGGTGATGGAGCAGGCAATAACAGGCCGGGAAACACCGCATGCCCGGCCCAGGGCTTGCTTGGAGCGCACAAACACGTAAGGTACATTCTTGTCCTCGCAGAGAAGGGGGAGGTGCAGGATGATCTCCAAGGGCTCAGCATCTGCCGCCATCACAATAAACTCTGCTATCCCTCGGTTCAGTGTTTTGGTGGCTGTAAAAGAAACTGAAGTGTAAGTCTAGGTCTTTCTGGAAAGGACATCTAATGAAAAACAACATAAGGAGATGTTGAAATTGGCATGAGCAAGGAGGAGATCTAGTGGTAGCATGAGGACAGGCCAAAGGAAAACAGCAGCTATAGGGCCAGGGAGGGGGTTATTCACAGCGTTGTGCCAAGGGTACTGTGCCCAGCGCCACCCTTGAGCCCAGAGGAGAGAGTCACAAGGGAGCGAGGCAAGCCCAGGGCTGCTGACAGGCAGGGAGCTGGGGCATACCACGGATGAAGGAGCTGGGTTTGTTTAGCCAGGAGAAGAGAGGTGGGAGCAAGGGGGGATGGGGATGTGGCTGCTGTCTTCTACTGCTTCAGGGGGACTGCAGATTAGATGGACACAGAACGCCCTGTGAGCACACAGGCAAAAGGACAATTTGCACACTGACTGTTTCGTCAGGGAGATTCTGGGGACGTGCTGGAATTACACCCACCCACCCCTTTATGAGAGGGGTTTAAGCTATGGGACATGGATCCTGAGAGATCGTGGAGCTTCTGTCCTTATAGATAGGTTTTTTTAAAGCTTGACTAGGCAAAGCCCCAAGCAACCTGATCCAACTGTGAAGTCAACTGCTCTCTGAGAAGGTTGCACTTAAGACCTCCAGAGGTCCCCTCAAACCCAAAGCTTTTTATGATTCTAAACTGGCTAGGCATCTGGTAATGCCAGTGCCATGTAATCACAGGACACACACCAGGACATCTACTAGAACTGTATACAAATGTTGAAAATATTACAGCTTATCTCTGTCCCTGAATAATGCTTAGGCAGGCTATAAGGAGGAGGGAGGAGAGGAATGCTCGCAATATCCAGGTCTATGTAACATTAGTGGCCCACCACTACGGAGACAATCTCTAGCCACAGCTTCTCACAAAATCCTTGCTATGATTTCTAGTACACTTCACAACACACGGGCCTCACCTTCATTGGCTCCCTTGCGTAGCTGCTTGTAGTTGCAGGATTGCTGCACAAGATCCAGTAGCGTTTTGGTGAGCTGTGCATCAGCCAGGGGGTAAGCTTTGGGATTCACTTCTGCCTCACTCTAGAGAAAGCAAAAAGTAGAGGATATTACAACAGGAGCAAAGAGGGCTTTGTTCTGAACGACACTACATAGGCATCACATCCACCATACATATTGACTACTGGAGTCAATTCACTATTCACAGTTGCTCTGCACATACACGAAAAACCCCACTACAATTTATTTATAAAGAGGGATGCTTCTTACATTTGAAATAGATAGTATCTCTACTCACAAAGACAGCCAACTTAGATCCTACAAACCAGCAGCAGTGAATTTACAGGCAGTCTTCAGTATCAACACGGATACTACATAAAATGAAGGAACAAGCTCCTGCCAGCAGCGAGTGAACAAGCTCAGACATGAATTTTACAGAAATCCCGAGAAAAGCACACATTTCTGCAAACTACAAGTAGCTTCTCAATATTAACATCAATGGCGTAGCGGAACGAGTCACAAGCGGCATTAACGACCAGCACTGGCAGAACGGCAACTCCTTCAGCTCCCACGGCTGCAGCCGACGCCGGCGCTCCCGGCACCCGACCGGGGCGGCCCACGCCGCGGTGCTCCGCCGCCTGCCCGCCCTCCCACGCCGCTACAGCCCTGCCCCGGCCGCTCTCCCGCCGACCGAGCACACACTCCCGCCGCTCCGCAGGGGCACAGCGAGGCCGGGGGAGCATGTCCCCCATCACTCAGTACCCACAGCACCGCCAGCCGCCCCCCCCCCGGGCATCCTCCCTCCAGGGCAGCGCGCCGAGCAGGAGGCCCGCAACCAGCCTCCACGTGCTCCCCGCCCCGCAGCCGCCGGGGAGGCAGCGTCCCCCCACGCCCGCCCCGGCGGCTCCTGAGGAAGAGGAAGAGAAGGAAAAGGAGACCGGTGCCCGGCCCCGCTCACCATGGCCGCGGCCTGGGCAGGGCGGCGCGGCCCAGGCGCTCCTCTGGGCCCGGCTGCGTTGAGGGGCAGGAGAGGGGCGCGCTCCTGCGCGCTGCGTTGCCGCCGGAAGTCAGGCGGCCGCGAGCCCCGGGGCGGGGCCGGAGGGGCGGGGCCTTCGCTCCCTCCCCCCGCCCCCGGTCCCCTCCCGCTACGGGCAGCGGCCCCGCGCATGCGCAGTGCTGCGGCGGGCGGCGCTTGGGCGATGGCGGAGGGGTGCGCGCGGTCCGCCGGCGGGCACGGGGCGCGCTGGACACTGCCGCTTCGCCCGCCGCTCTGCCTCGCCTGCGCCGTGGAGACCCTGGGCGACGGCAGCGTCCCGGTGGGCAGCGTCTCTGCTCCGCCACCGCCGCCCTGTCCCGCAGAGAGCTGGCCTCCGCCGGCCGGCCGTGAGGCCTCGGCCCCCTCGCGGCTGCCGCTGCGGCCTCCCCCCTCAGCCGTCCCCGCCCTGCCGCCCCGGCTGCCCCCTCTCCTGCGCTGAATTTGGGGCTGGGGCCTGACCAGGTGTATCATGGCGCTTGCCCGGGTGTATCGTCTTGGGACCTCTTCCTCCCCTCCAGGGGGCAGCGGGGTGGCTGGGGCCGAAGTGTTAACGGGCTGTTGTCTCTGATCCCTAGCTGGTGCGCAAGAAGCACGTCCTCTCCCGTCTCCACGATGCCCTGGCCTGGCAGGCACTGCCAGTAGTCCAGCTGCTGGCACCGGACGAGAGGGTCAGCCTTCATTTGATAAGAACTCTCTTTGGTAAGAGCACTGCTGTGGCCTAGAGCAGCAGCAGGGAAAAGGCAGTTACCTTTTTTTGGGAATAGGTGTATACATGTGAAGCTTCTCCACATTTGAAGAAAAAAAAAAAAAAGGCAAAAGGATATCATAATACCTAATTCTGTGCTTCCATCATTCTGTGTGAGGTGTGTTACTACTCCCTGTGGAAAACTGCCTGTCATTTTTTTTAGAATAGGTTAATTAATTTCCTTATTCCCCAAGGTGCAGGATTGGCATGTTCAAAAAGCTCTTGTAATTTCCCAAAGTATCTTGACGTATCTGTAAAGTCTTTCTGGAGAACAGGGAGTGCGCATTCTGGTCTCATGCCTCAGTGGTTTCTCATCTTGCTGAACTGTGGCATTATATGAGGATTCATACAGAAATGAAAAGTGTGAGCTTAAAAAGGTTTTGCAGGATTTAATAGCAAATATGCAAAATACAAATCTACATAGTGGTTTTTTTTCACACTGTCACTTTACATTTGTAGAAGTCCTTGTAGCTATAGGACTGTAGTACCTGCTTCTTTCTGGTGGGTCAGCCTCACAGCAGAATCGTGTTCAGCGGGATGTCAGAAAGCGCCTTTCCCGTAACAGTCTCTGTGGTCTTGAACGTCTCTTGCCAGTTTCTGTTTGCATAGCAGTGCTGTGGGAAAGGTCTTTGAAACATCTAAAATCTTGATGGAGAAGAAATAATGGTCTAAATGAGAGAACAGTAAGGCAAGCAGAGAAAGGTGCAGGGTACGAAAGTGAATGCCTTCAAAGAGCAGATATACTGGGTTCCTTTAATTACATGATCTCATTTGCACATCACAGATAATTCTTGTTCTTTGGGGGAAAGTGACTTACAAGCCCTTTCCCCTGCCTTGACGCACTGAATAATTCAAACAGTGTTTTCCCACTTGATTTTCCAGCACAAACTGTGTTGTGCATGTTCTAGAAGGAGCTTTGTTAGAAACAGAACTTTGTGCAGGTTTAGTTCTCTTCATTGCACAAATTATTATTGTGCGCTGTCTGTACAGGTAATCCTATACAGATGTGGATGGAGTAGTGCTTGTGACCAGTGCATTCATACACTGTATGACCCTAACACGAAATACTCCAGAAGACAAGGGACCTGTGCTTGCATTTCAATGCTCTTGTCTGCTTTTAAATATTAATTTTCTCTCTCTTTAAGAAGCTTTCCAATTGGATGGTTTGGGGACAGCTTTGGGATTTTACTGTACTTGGTATAACTCCTAGAGCAGTTGGAATCCCAGTCTAAGCTTGGAGCTACAAACAATGACATGTACATTTTGGATAAAGCTTTAATGAATCAAGGATCATTTGGTGCAAGAGCGTAAGAGGGACCCCCAAAGGTTTGAGCAATGCCGTGGAGGAAGTATTAGTAGTAAATTCAGGAAAGTACATATACTTCTGGAGAGAGAATATTGGGATAAGCAAGGGCAGCAGAGATAGGATTAAGAGGACAGAGGTTTAGGTGTGAAGTGTTATGTATGAGAAGATGGTGAATTTTAGGTAAGCCTGAATTTCATGCAGCTAATATTGTAATGTTCACTAATGCTGTATGCAAATCTTTTCCAAAGTGTAAGGAAGTTACTGAGTATTGGGCAGATGAGGCAGGAAATAAGTAATTTCTTCACCTGCAATGTCGTAACATTGCTTTAGTTGGTCAAATTTCTGAGAGGTCATGGGGTCTCCGTAAGGGAGGTAATTTGATTGGATATGTTGAAACAAGTGGTTTGGTGTGGCAGAAGTGGGGGTCTGAACCAGATGCCTGATGGTGTAGTTACCTGAAGTTGGAAGGAGCTGGGAGGTAGAGTTTCTCGTCTGTTGTGGTGTAGTAGAGTGAGACAGAGGCTTATTTTTATATATCCAGTCTTACGCTCTTGTTGCACAAGTGGCTTGTGAAATGGTGCCTTTAGGTTCAATTTAACGTTGGAATAGTTTCCATATACTTTAAACCTGGTGTTCAGATTTGGTCTCGGGATTTTCAGTACTGTGGAGGGAGAAGACTGTTCATGGTAATTGGTGTGAATGGGAGATAGAAAGGACAACTCTCAGCTGGGCTCTAACTTCTGTCATTCTGGAGTGTTGTTTCAGATGTATAATGTTGGATACATGCAGTGAGGTATGGCGATGGTAGCAATTACGTATTTACTTACATAGGTGGAGCCATTGACTTCAACTATGAAGTACATAAAAAATTTGCAAGAGAACCGAATGCCTTCATGTCCCTGTGTCCTGCTTATGGAGGCACCTTTTGCGATACTCCTTGAGAGTATCCATCTTTCCCTGACAAAGTCAGGCTGGTGTCATGTGAAGCGGGGAAAACAAAACAGTTCTGAAAAAAATTTGCAGCTCTGTTTACAAGGCGTCATTGCAGCGCTGATGATCACAAGCAGGAACGAGTGTCATGTCTTATTGTGGTTTACCTTTTAGGGATGTTGCATACTGTGGAAGACAGCAGTGCCCTGGACCTATTCATAGAAGGTGAGAGGCAGATGCCATGTCTCAGTTACTGACAATTCGTGAAGGGAGGCTCTATCTTGGCTGATAACTCTAATGAGATGCTCAGTTTCTATACACCTTGAATTGGGAAGAGCATCCGTTTTCTATCAATGCAACAGTGACAAGCGGGCTGTTCCAGTATTTGGGGGTGTGTGCAGATTTAAATATTTAGCATTTTTCTCACAGGTTCTGTGTGTGCACCATGAATTTAGTCTTAGATGCGTTACACTGCTAAACAATGCCTCATCTTTGGCATCTTTGAACCCAACTGAAGTCTCAAAGCAAATGGAAATCTTCCTGTAGGCTTCAGTGAGCTTTGAGATCTACTGCTTTCTCCTCAGGTCAGAGAGTATTTGGGATTTACCTGTAGAGGCTGCAGATTCCTTTCTGTGAGCAGTCCTTCATTTGAAACCTGAAGGAAACGCCTGCAGGGCTAACAAAGGAATATGCAGTCCAGTTAACCTTGGGCATCTCTGCTGAGTCTAGTGATATTAGCAGTGCAATGATTTCTTCCTGTCCAGCGATGAAAGATGAAAGGAGGTGCAAGCAGTTCCTTCCAGAGGGGTTTCAGTTTTCAGGCACTTGCTTGACATGGTATTGAAAAGGTGAGAATTCTTTCTGTCATGTTACCAGTCTGTTGAGAGATGGATGCTCTCAAACAGAGGAATTTTAAGTTAGTGTTACCTAACTTTTGAAAGTTTTTAGAGATTCTGAGAGTTCAGGGCAAGGGAGGGCCATTAAACCATCTATAAATCACCAGTCTCGAGATATGCCTCTGCTAAGATGCGTAGATCTTTAGCTAAAGTAGGTCTCCTAGATAAACCTCCAGTATTGCCCTGGATATACAAAGAGATGGTGAACCTAGAAGTCTCTAGTATTTTTTTTTAATGGTGGTTTCCTAGAGTACAAATCAAAAAAGTGTGTTTTTTAAATGAGTCATGCCATCACAGCAAGATACATCCAAGACAGCCTTACCAAATCCTATGGAACAATGTTCTGCACATTGTCTCAGTAAGAGGGCTATTGTCTGCTGAACATTCAGGTTCCCAGGTTCTAAAAATACCAGAAGATGAACTTTGCTTCCTGAAACTGGTGCACTGGTATACGTCTGGAGGCAGAGGCAGCCTGCCAGCGTCAGGCAACTCCCTTGTGATTTTGTTTGGGAAACCCCAGGTGATGTGCAGCCAGTGCCTGGTAAACAGAATTCTTGTTGATTCCTTTTATTAGGATAGAGTGGACAGAGTTCTTAAAGTTGCAGTGAAACAAAAATAACAGCCCTTACATAGGGCTGAGGAGGTGAACAGTACCAGAAAGGTGACTGGGGCCTTGCATTCTAGCAAAGTATATGGCATAACTGCAGTGGGGAGGAGTGGCTGATAGACTGCACTGTTACCTCAGGGACAATAGTAGCTGGAGAAGGAGCTCTCAGACTGCATCTAAGGATACTCAGCAGTTGCAGTTCTGGTGTCTTCTTTGGAAACATGTTTTTAAAGGCCAATTTTCATAGTGTAGGAAGCCTGCTTGTATTCAGTTACCAGAAATTTTTATGCTTTTAAGTTAGGCCGTTGTTTCCTTCCCTTTCCGGTTCCTTATGTTTACTTGGTGTCCTGATGCTTAGTTTGTGGCTTGCGGTTCATTTCCATGCATGGTTTGTAGTGCAGCTAGAACAGGACTGCTGTAATGTTGCTGCAGAGACCTCGGGCTGGGCTATCAGAAGTAATAGCGCTGGGGATGCCGATGTTATCCTGCTCTCTCAGCACCTCTGTGCTCATTTAATTTCTAAGCTCCTTGCTCACTGGTCTGCTAAGGCACTGTGGAAGATGGATTGTGAATGCTCTTGGGTGTGAATTACTGATCCTGTTTCTTCTGTGTAGTTCTGGTACGGCTTGTAGTGGAGCTGAAGTCAGAACAGTACTTACGCTGCATTTTGGATGAAAGCCAAAAAGAGGTGAGTGAAGATTAATTCCTTGCCCTTCCTTTCAATCCTTCAGAGGTTGAGGATATGGGAATGAGTGGCCCTGCGAGACTGCAGTTACTGTGCTGGGATGCAGACTCTGCTGCAGTGGGATATCGTAGTGCCAGCTCCCCTTCTGTGATTTTGGCAGTGTTGGTGTCTACTCTGCAGTTTTCCTGTTGTTCCCATTATGCCTTGCAGCCCTATGGCTGCATGATGCTCTTGTGAAGCTGTGTGACTTCCTCAGATTCTTCTTTTCCTCCCTTACTGTTTCAGTGATATGAGGAACTTTCCCAACCTGTGCCCTGGGCTCTTGCTCTCTTCATTCCTAAGTTTGTGATGGTCCTATGGGGAACAAAATATTGGGAAGCAGCAAAAGTGGGGAGAAGTTCAACAGGTTCATCCACTCACGTAGGAGCTGGAGGGGAGAGAGGGGAAAAGGAGGAACAAGCAAGAGATTTCTTGAATTAGTTAAAAGATATTTTGGAGACTTAGTGGTGCGTTCAGGGTTTTCCTGTGGTTTATCCTAAGTGGTGAAGAGGAGCCGGCTTAGGATAAGATCCTGTTCTGGAGCATTATGCACCATGGAGAGCTTGCTGGTTTGTGTGTGTTTCTGCCTTTGGACTGTGTCCTCACTAGTGAAACATTTTTTTTCTCTGTCTCGTCTACAGCTGTGCAAAGCAACTACCATGAGAGGCAGCCTGCCCACATTCACTCTCTTGGGCAAGCTGGTGGACGCCATCCCAGGCTTTGCTGATATACTGGTGGTAGAGCACAGTGAGTAATGTGTCATGCCTCACTGAAGGGTGGTATTCACAGCCCAAATACACATACGCATGCGTGCATTTCCCCATCCCCCATGTGAATTTATGAAGGTCGCACAAGAAGCCTGTCCAGAAGTCGGAGTGGCATTCTGGCCTCCTGGATTGCAAGTCAGTACCTTAATAGCAGGCTTGTCGTTGTGCTCTTAGCCAGCCTGGCAAAACCAGCCCCTGTGAACCACAGTTTGTGCATCTGCATCACAGGCAACGTACATTTAGTTTTTCTTTCCTTGGTCCAGCCTCTGGGGGTCTGGTGAGCAAGCTTAGCTGTTTGTGGAAGTAGCTGGGATGGTGGATCTTCATATGGTGAACAGTGAGCTCCACGAGCCATTTATTACTGTACCTCTGCTCAGAGGGGCAGATGGTAATGAGCACATCACTTAACTGTGTCATTCATTAATCTACATACACCAGTCTGTCCAGTGGGCTTTTGCAAGTTTTCAAGGGAAATAGGTTGGTGCTTTTAAAAAGTCAGTTCATTGGTGTGAATGTTTGCTGGTTTTATTCCTCACACTAGGTAATTTAGTGGATCATCTGCTGATGGGCTTGACGTACCCAAATGAAGGTATAAAGGCTGCTGTCTGCTACTTGTATGGCAAGCTGTACTCCTCTTCTGTTGGCACAGAACGGCTCTCAGCACACTTTGAAGAAAGGCTGTGTGGTCTCTTCTTGAATACCTTGGGGCGTGCGCAGACAAAGGAGTTGCAGGTTAATTGTTTGGGTAAGGCATTGCTGAAAGAAGGTGCAAGGTGCAAGGCAAGGCTTAGAATGAGGAAGAAATCCTTGGCTGGTGTAGGTGTTCTAATGTTGATTGTTCCCTAAAGGAGCTTTTTGCTGCTTGTCTGAAGCAGTCAGACCTTTCTGCTACTCCACAGCAATCAAATGGCCCAGACCTGCTGCTGAGCTCCTCCAGACCTCTGTTGTCCCTCGAGCTCCGTGTTTGCTTAGCACTGGCTAATCTTAAAAGAGTCTCTTCAGAGCTTGCACTGTGGCCTGGCCTGTCTGAATTTGATGTTTCATCCTAGGAACAGACCATCCCTCAAAGTATCCAAATACAAACACTATGCCTGGACAGGTGTAGAGCAGTGGGATCGAGTCTAGCAAATATGGTCTTCAGATGTGGGGCATCATGTTCTTTAGGTTAGAAAGCTAATGTGGAAGTGGTGCTTTTTTCCATTTATGCTTCCAACTGCACATATCAGCTGTTGCTGGTGAGCACAATTTCAGCCTTTCTGACATTGCTTGTTTGTAAACCATCCAGGGAATTCCTTTTTCTTGTAGGAGGTAAGCAGGAACTGGATTGCTCCTCAGATCATCTACACAGCTACTAGAAATGGATGATGATTCCTTTGCAAGTAGAATTCTATAGCTCAAATGATACCCCTTGTGAATTTGTACTGACAGGTACTGATGATTTGCATCAATACCTGTAGCAGTGCTCTATACTTTTATACTGAGGGCTTTTTTGTGTGTGTGGATATCCTTTAGCTAAACACAGCTGTTTCAATAAGAGCCTGTGAAAGTAGAAGGGGAAGATAAATGTCAGTTCTCTAGGAAGTATTCCAGGGAAAATGTCTAGTTATTGTTGGGTTGCTGACTGTAGCTTGGAGAAAAATGCAGGTCAAGAGCTCTCCCAAGAAAAAATTTAGAGGTGGGTACGAGAGCACAGAAGACAGTGCAAGTGGAGTGCTCCGAGATCACGTACCTGTGTGCATGCACGTCTCTGAGAAGGAACAGGGAGCAGATCAGACCTCGCAAAAAGCATCAGCACCAAGGAGCTGCAAGACATGGGGCTCATGGCAATATCTGGGGACACTGAGAAGAAGCTTCCTAAACTGGAAGTGAGGGCCTTTGTTAGGAGTGCAGGAAAGAGGAGGAAGTTGGCAACGAGTCTTAGGCTGTAAATTCTCCTGTGTTAACAAAATCCTTGTTATACCCACAATGGTGCTCACTCTTGCTCCCCCTTTTACAGGTTTGCTAAAGGAGCTGCTGAAATCTGACCATTTTGTGTCCATTCTTATGAATAATTCAAAGACAGAGGAGTCTGAGAACCCTGAATTTTTAGAAGGGGAAAATCCATTGCCACTTGTTCTCAAAAAGGTGATTGCTGAAGTGGTAGTGAATTATCGATAGATGTAAAGAATTTGCTGGCCTGTATTGAATCTTCATCTGAGGCACTTGAGTATGCTGTTGCCAATACCAGCAATAGAGGCTGCAGTGGGAAATGGGGACACCACCATTGATCACCTCATTCCTGCATCCTGGAGGGGGGGAAATTTTGTTCTGGCCTCAGCTGATTTTACTCACTCACACTTGAGGTCTGATACAGCACTTGTGCCAACATGACTAAGCGTGCGGGCAGAGCTGTTCATAATCTTCTCTGTTGTGGTTCTCATGTTGCGTTTTTTTTGAGTGTATTTGGTCCAGTGTTTTATCTTGCTTTAGCAAGTTTAATCCATTAAATACATGCCAAAAGAGAGATCTTCATTTATATTTTACATTTTAAAATGTAGAGGAAACTGTTTCCTACTCGTATCTGCATAGTTGACTTCCTCTCTCATTTTAACACTTGTTTCCCAACAGCTTTTGTTGACCAGAGATGAGATGTTACAGGCAGCAAGTTCTCACTGTGTCGCTGCAGTGCTGGTTCACTCTCCTAACAGATATGCTCCTGCTTTTATCCATGCTGACGTCCCAGGTGAAGAAATGCAGTAGCATCTTGCTGTTCATCTCCCAATGTCAAAGCACTCCCTGGCTGTTAGTTTTAGGAATCAGTTTGGCTCCATGAAATCCACTGATGGCATAATGTGTGTGGTATCCATTTTATACCAGTAAAAACAGCTACTGTGATTTTAGGATTAGAAGGGGAGAGTAAGTTTTCAACTGAAAGTATAGAAGCAGATGTCAACAGGCAGAATGGAGTCTCCACAGCAAGAATTTGGACAAGTCCTTGAGGTCAAGGTCCTTCTTGCAGGATCACCTTAGATACAAGCCTAAATAGACTTGGATTCCATCTTACCCCACTAAATACTGTAAGTTTTCACAGAATTTGGTCTAGGATTTAGGTTTAGAATTGGCTGTGGGAGATGGTTTATTATTTCTCTGTAATCCCAAAAGACAGAAATGCTTTCATTTTACAAATTCTTTGGGAGATGTAAAAGTTCTGAGGGAAAAAAAAGATCACTGCATCTGTGGTAAAGCTTGCTTTGTGGCTTTTCATTTGTGCCAAAGGCTAGAGCCACAATTCAGCTCCTGCCTGCTGAGTTTGTGCTGGGAAGATGCCTGCCTGCAGGACTCTGGTCTCCAGTCACCTTGTTTTGAAGACTAGCATACCCCCAAGCATCCACTCCATTCTCCATTCCTGCCATTTCATAATACAACCGTTCTCCCCCTGGCTGTTGCTATGCTTCCTCGTTTCCTCCTCCTTCTTTTGCTCTGTTCTAGGAGCAGCTGTGCCACGCTGTGAGCAGACTGCCTCTAACCAGGTGGACCTTCTTTTTGTGTGTGTGTGTTTGCAGAATTCTTGTTTGAGTGTCTCTCGTGCAACAGTGAAATTCTCATCTGGTCAGTGTATTGCTGCCTGCTCCTCTTAACTGAAGAGCGCCTATTCTTCTCGAAGTGTCACACAGTCTATGGTGAGTCATCAACCTTTCTGACAGAGTGACTGCGGTAATACTGTGGGCATTTGTTGTGCCTCTAGCTGAATTTCAGTGCTTTACACACAATCACAATTTCCAGTCAGGATGGATAAAGGTCAGAAAATAAGTACCTATCAGACATGTTTGTGATGTCCAATGTAGCTTGAATTTACAGTGTCACGGTCCTAATGAGTTCCTGATGAGTGTGCATTGGTTATAATAACCAGTTATCATGACTGACACTACCTAAGTTACTATTAAGTCTTTCTGTGGACATGCCAAGAGTGGATTTAGGAAGAAAGGCTTCCACTCTTCTGGACTTAAGTCCAGCAGTACAGGTTGGGGCCTATCATCAGGGAGCTGAGTGAACACTCAGCAGTTTTGGGCAGTTGTTAATGTCAGTGGCTCAGAAGAATAATTGTTCAAATCTTCCTTCCTTTTAAAAATTAATTTTGCTTCCATCCTGGAATTTGGGGTGTTAAAATCCCTCTCTGTGACTTCTCTTGAACATGTGCAGGCATTGAATCTCTGGTGAGGAGTCTCCAACGTGTCCTGCAGCTGAACAATGTGGAGTTGCACAAACAAGGGCTCCTGCTCTTCACTGAAATACTGAAACGGTAAGGGAGTACCCCCAACAGGCTCGCACAGGCAGAGTTTGGTGGCCCAAAATGGAGGCTGTGGTGCTTTTGCTTTTTGAGGTTTTGAGGTTCTCTACTGAGACTAAGTATCTGCACACCCAGAGCCTTTGTGTTTGAAAGATGTTGCTGAACAAATGCATATTCCTTATTCTTATGAAGAAGGGCCTGATGGTTGTTTCTGAACCTCCAAGCTTGTCATCTTTGCACCTGCATCCACCAGTATATCTACTTCTTCCTGCTTTCTTGCCGATCGGGGAGGTGAAATCTCCTTTCATCTGTAGATAGAGCAGGAGGGAAGGGTAGGAAAGTCCAGGCGTATATGAGCAGGCCAGTTCCTGCTAAGTGCGCCTTTGTAACAAAACGGAGCATGCAAATTCCATGGCTTCTAGTCTTGTATCATCATCTGAGCTAAATTCAAACAGCAAAAACAAATTCTAGGCTGAAATATTAATGTCTTCTGTCACTTTTTGCCTCTTCTTTTCTGCTAAGGAATAACATACCCTGGCTTGTTTTTCTTCTGTGCTTCCTGTTCTTGCCTCTATGATCTTGTTCCTGTCCTGTCATGCTAGTGACAGAGTCTTGGTTTTGCCACTTAGTTCCCCCAAGAGAGCCCTTGAGCTGAATTTTGGAAATGTCACAGTCAATTTTGTAGCAAGTGGCAGGGTAAAAAGGAGAAGAAAAAGCAGCAGTGCTAGAATAGTGTGATGATGCCAGTGTAGGATCTGTCAAAAAGAGAAACCAGGATGTGGGAAACACTAATTACAGCATTTATGCTTGTAAAACAAAGAGAACGTTCAGTGCAATTACTCTCATTTTCTAGCACACACATTCTGTTTCTCTGAGCTTTGCATTAAAAATGATGTTTTATTTAAAACTATCTCATAGTGGGAAAGGGGTCTCATCCTGCAAGGTCTCAAACTGCAAGGTTTTTCCTTGCAGCTGGATTCTCTTGTGTAAGCGAGCCTCACACCCTGGTGTTGTCCAGGCAAGACGTGCTGCTCCCCGTGTACTGCTCCCTATGACAGGAATGGTGGGTTGCTCTCCCTGGAGTGCCCCATGTCTCTCCCAGCACAACCAGTGGCAGGCATAGTTTGGGGCCCAAAGATGAGAGGCTGCAGGAAGCTACAGGAGTACTATCCTTGACACTTTTCTCCCAGGCCCCGAAGACATCAAAGTGCACCATATTGCAAGTGGGTTTGCGCCTCTTGAATGAGTCAGCAATACTCCTCCATCCCTTCCTCCTTGCATGAGTCAGTGAAGACTTTTTTTTTTTCCTGATGTGGTTTACTTCAGAAGGTCAGCAATTAAAGAAGGGAAATACAGGGGATTAATAGAATTACAGTATAAGTGGCAATGACTTGAAGTTCAGCACACCACTTACGGCTTGGGCCAGAGGCTGATCCTGGTGCCTGAGTTCTACAAAGCCTTTTCCCTGCCTTGCCCGCCTCACAGCTTTTTCTCACAGCAGAACGTGAGGTGACTGCCAAACTGGGTTTCATCCCACTGAGTGATTCTGCCTCTGTTTGCTTTTTGCCCTGTAGCTGGGCTATCTACTGAAGTTCACGTTCCTCTCCCATTTGTGCATGGGACCACGTGCTCCTGGCTTGCTTTAGTCAGGCACATCTGTGAAAACTGAATAACAGGGAATACTTTTGGCTCCCAAGTCTGGCTCCTGTCATGCTGCACTGCTTTTCTTGCTTCACTTCAGAAAGGCCCTCTGGCAGGCTGTTAGCACCTCTTGTCCGCATGTAACTTCCTGTCTTCCCCCTTCCTTTCCTACTGTACCTGACTTGCCAGGAGCCAAATGAGCACAGTCTGCCATTTATGCAGTTCTTTCCAATAATGGGATTAATGTCTTGTCGTCCCTCCACGCTCTCGTGCTGAATGCTCAAAGGTGTTGGGCCACAAGGTGATCAGGCAACCAAAATGCTCACTAGCAAGAAGAATTGTCAAAAAAGTTGGATTGTGTTTATTTTCCTGATTACTTTTCAAGTTCGTGAAAGTCTCTGTCCTTCTGGCAGCATCTGGCATTTAGAAGTGCCAGATTAGGACTGTGAGAGAAGCTATTCTCATGGCATTGTCCTTGTTCTAGGATGACTGTGTTTGCTTGTTTACTGAGAAATATGTGTTGCCAGATGAACCCACAAATGCCAGTGCAGATGGCCTCAGCATAGTCCTAGGCAGAGAGATCACTGTTTTGCAAAGCCTGTTTTTCTTGTGCTTTTCATGTCAGTGTTTGCTGGTGCAGTCGCACAGTTATCCAAGCTGTGGATTTTATTCATCATAGCAGGGCTCCAGACCTGCTGAAGTTCACTCTTTGTAGCAAACCCTCCACCTGCTGAAGTTTGAGACTGCATCCTTGAGAGCAGCTGGCTCTGAATACTGAAAAGCACGGCTGGAACCACATGGCTCAGCTGTCCGTTTGGTGAAATAAGGAGAGGGCACTACAGTTACTTAACTCTGACAATATTCTCCTTGTTTACTTTGTTTCCTCTTTGCAGGCAACCAGTGGAAATCAAATTATTCACAAACCGAGGTGTATGTATAGAAGCCATTGATGTTTTGATGGAGACAGTGAACTGCCCGGTGCTGGAGGTGGTAGTGGAGGCTGTGAGAGCTGTGGCAGCGTTCCTGAGGTAGGCAGGAAAGTATTTGCAGGCTTTTCTTCAGACAGATCTGTTGATACCATGTTGGTCTCTGCAGCTCCCCTGTGGCTGTGTGGGTGAGCGTGCTCTGCAGTGGGACTTGTAGCTGAGACAGGCGTGGGTATGGCAGAGCTCGCTTCCCACCCACCTCAAAAGGCTGCCAGGGCAATGAAGCTGTGGTAGGCAGCAAGCCGCTGCAGCAAGGACCTAGCGTCCCAGGCAGGCTTGTACTGTGGCTGCTGTGGCTTTGTCACTCTGTGCCCCATCCGGATAGATAAGAGCAGGCATGAGACTCTGTACAATCATGTGCTTCGTGACTGTAGGCGGAGTGGACAGTGAATGCAGTGAGGGTGTGTTTGGACGCACATCTGGATGAAGGCACTGTTCAGATATTGTGACATTAGCATGCTGGGCTGGAGAGAAGTGGCAATGGCATATTGCTGTCAGAAGAGCAGTTGTTTCTGCTGGTGTTGCCTTCCCAGGTGGAATGTCCCCAGCAGGGAATGTGCATGCTGTTTTTCTCTCTGCTTGTTCAGGAAGGACCACTTGAGCTCCCCTCCAGTCCCATATGAAGAGCTGCAGAAGCTGCTGGAGGCAGTGCTGAAGCGATGTGCTGACCTTCCCTCAATACAGAGTAGCAAGTGGCAAGTGGTAAATCAAAAGTTGTTGTTACTTGTTGGTAGGACCAAGCAGGACAGGGATGATCCACCTAGCACACTATGTGGATGTTGTATGTATGTTCTGTCCCCTTCCCCTATGGCTGTTGGGTTCTCTGGTGTTTCTTTTGATCCTCATGCCTCGAGATGGTACCAATCTTTGTCTTTGAAGTAGCTGAAGATGGATGCTGGTGAATGTTGTCTTTCTAAATTAATGAAGATTTGTGGGGCGCCACTTGAGCACGCTGCTCTCTTTATGGTCCAGTACTTTGAAGTCATGTGAACTTCTCCTTCTTCAGGCCCCCACCTTGTAGGCTGTGTCAGTCTACTTTTTGGGCAATGAACATCTCTTGCTGTGACTTCAGACCAAGAAGGCCATCATATGTGCACTGTGGGGCCTCAGCAAGGGAGCTGTTAGCCACTCTTTGAACTGCAAATCCTTCCCTGTTCCTGGAATATGTAGTTAGTGTGATGTGCTGCTGAGACCTGTGCATTTCTGAGGAGAGCCCCCATTACAGATGGCTAGTGAAAAGACAAGGGCTGAGCCTTCTTGCTCTAGGTTTAGAGCCATGTATGTTTAGATCATATGTCTATAGTGGCAAGAGCATCTTGCTGGAGTACCAGAGCTCCAAATGCCGGCTGAACTATCTTTAGGCCCAAGTTCTGTGGTATCAGATGTCTGTCTGCTCTGCCTGGAGAATGCAGAACTGCTTTCTGCCCCATAGACAGATGTTAGTCTGGTTGCATACACACAGAGCTTGAGTCCCATTCAGAATAAGGGGCTTCACAGGAAGGAAATTAGGCAGCTAGCAAGGACATCCAGGCTGTGTTTAATGGGAGAAAAGGCGAAATGATTGTACCTGTACTAAGGTATCTCACCATCAAATGCAGAAGGAGGAGGAGTTCTGAGCTGCCAGACACCAGTGGGTTGCCATGCCCTCCTCTGGTAGTATTTGGAGAAGACCACCACAACAGGTCTGCTTAAAGGCAGACTTTGAGCTCCAAGTGGTTCCTAGTTTGGGCAAAAGATTAACTCTGATGCAACAGTTGGCTTCTGGCTGAACTTGGTAGGATGCTGAGTGGGAACAAGAGCTAGTACATGGATAGTTGCTTACAAGTCTGAGCCAAAAGGTTTCAGTGCTGGGCAAGGAGAGAAACTGTTCTGTGTTGTCTGAAGAGTAATTGGAAGAAACAAAATTTTAAAAAATATCAAGTTTTCCCAGAAGGGTTTGAAGCTCCATTAGCTGAGCTGTTTAAAGCTCAGATTAGAGCAAACCATGGCAATACAGACTACAAAGACAGGGCAGTGCAGAACCAGTAGCTCTGTAACTCTGTCCTCCCTAAGAAGAGCACTGAAGCTAACTCTGTCCTCCCTGGGGAAAGCTCAATAGTAAAAAAACAGTTATGTGAAAGAAGTGAGTGAAGGGAAATCTGTTGTTCCTCCTGCTGCTGGTATCAGAGAAGAAAGCTATTTTTTCCAACAGTGAACATAAGATTTTTAAGACTTCTGTTCTTTAACAGGGTGATCTCCTATTCTCAGGATCTCAGAGTCACCCAGCCAACAGAAATCTCAGCAGAGTTCCTCAGAGACAGGCCCAGTTTTTGCTCAACACCCTCGAAAGTTTCAGAAATGCTTGCAGGTGAGGACAAATCAGGAAGGTGGGTGGGTGGTGTGTGTGTCCATGTCTGTCTGTCCTTCTGTCCTGGTAAGTGAGTTTCTCTACCCAAGCCCACCAATGAAATATCACAGGTGAGTTCAATGCATGGCACTTGTCAGTGAAACAAAAGAAGGAGGGATATGTAGTGCTAGTGAAAATTTTGTGATGTATGTGACTCCCAAGAAATTTGCCTGGGACCTATCAATTTATTTCATGTATTTGGCCTTTGAGGAGCTGCTTGAAAAGTAGCCAAAACTGGTGCCAATGTAAGGATGGTTGTGTGAAACCATATTCCTGTGGCCTGGGGTGTGTGGTCTCACTGCTGGAGGGGATTAACCACGTAACAAATGTGTATCTGGTCCAGATGGTGGCCTTGGATTTGCTCATGTTTGTGACCTGTTACTGCAAGTGGGTTTAGAGGCACCAACTTTTCCTGTTTTTCTGGATGACAGCTATCTTTCACCCTTAGCTGTACAGCAGACAGTGGTGTATGAAAATGTATCTGTTTTTAGGGAAATCTGGCCAACTTATTTTGCCTTCCATCACTTGCATTTGGTTTGGCTGAGATAATTCAGTCAGAAGCAGGTGTCCCTGTCTGCACTGATCCAGTGTCTTGGGGAGGTGTTACAGGGCACTTGGGTTCTGTCATGGTTTTTACATCAGCTGAACGATCCCCTGGCTGATTTTCGTGAGGTTTGCTGTATTGTGCTCCAGGCACTCTGGCCTGACTGAGAACCTTTAGTCTTGCCACACTAGGGCTTCCCACAGCAGGTACTTTCTTCACAGCAGCTAAGTCTTCCTTTGCCACTTGTACTATTCTGCAACATTGCTGACTTTTAATAGCTTCGCTCAAGAGGTATCTCTGTCTGATTGCCAGATTCCTGTGTTTCCAACCCATCAAGTGTTTGCAGGGTCCTTAATGGTAAAAGTTGTGATGGAAATGTAGTATTTCCTGACTTTCTTTACAGAGCGAGGAGGATTTCTCTCTCCTCTGGTATCCACTTTGTGTTTGTAGGTTAGCAGTGGAATTCCAGAGTGACCCCATGGCCCAGGAAAATGCTTTCACTGCCCCCAACTCCAAGAGCAAGGACACTCTGAGCAACTTCTCTGAGTTCCTGTTGAGGATTTGTGACAGTCTCTGCATCCCCATGATCATGGTAGGGTTTCTTTTGAACTTGGTCTATTCCTTGGGTACCTGGAAAGGTGCTTTCAAGCACCAAGAGTGGGTTGCACAAGATTTTTTTTCGAGAAGAAAGCATATAGAGTAAGCCAAGAACAGCTGTGGTATTTGCCACCTCTCCAGAGCCAAATGTGGCATTATACAGTTCATGCAAAATGAGAGTGTACGGTCTCAGGGTGGAGAAATTCATAAAGATACCATGGAGATGGCAGTGTCTTTCTTCAGACTGTGCAATCCCCGTAGCCTGCCTGCCATGTTGTCTAACCCATGGCAGCTCTGGATGTGGCAGAAAATTAAGAGTGCCTGAAATGTTCTTTCCCCTTCTACCACTTTTTCTGTGTCCCAGAAAGCGGAGGTATTTTCATCTGCAATTTTGTTTTCATGCTTCTTTCCAGAAGGTGTTGAGGAAGCTGGCCAGTCAACACAGCAAGGACAGTACTAAGCATTGTGCCTCAGTAAGGCCAGGGACACGGTTTAAAAAGCAACAGTGGAGAGTCGCGTGTGCTTTAGTGCGCCCTACAGACCTGTCACTAAGACACTTTGAGCAGAATTGTCAAAACAATGGGACTCTGGTTGTGGTTCTCAATGTTGAGTAAATTTTGCGTGTGCTTTGCAGCAGGTTCAGGTGTATGTATTTTTTGCAGTTGTTGGGAGTTTGGAGATGTTTTGTTTTGTATTTTTGTAACCAGTCTCTTGGTAGGCTGCTGCAGTGGCATTGCTGTTCTCCTCCCTGAAGGGAGGGTGCAGTGTATGTCCAGTTTGGCAAAGCTGTAGTCAGTGTGCTGTTTCTTGCTCATTGAGCTTGGGTAAAAATCAATGAACTGTGAGAAAATTGCCCAGTGACCTTCTACAAGAGTGAGTTGAGTCATTCTGTTCTAAACAGTTTAGGGCTGGACTCTGTAGAGACCTTAAATGCCTGTGTTTGCCACTACTGAATAAAGCGCTGAAGCACAGGTGTTAAGTGTTACTGAAATCAGCTGCACTTAAGCTTGTGTCCTATATTGTATGCCACGCTGGAGAATTAGCCATCTGACCTGTAAGAGCAGTTATGTCCAGGGCAATATGGGCAGTAATGTCAGTTGCTGTGCATTAAGGCCTAACTGGTTGCCAGCTGGCATCAGGAAGAAGTTTCTTGCTTGATGTAATGTCTTGCAGAGTTAGTAGCACCGCTCATAACGTTGGCAGAGTGGAGCATTGCTTTCAAAGTGCTCTGTAAGCCTGTGTACTTGCTGCCAGGCATTTTGGTAGAACTGTTCCTCCATTTGCTTGGATTTAGAAATCTAACTTTCTGGGTGGGCAGGAGGCCGGAAGAAAGCTGCTGCTTTCAGTGTTTATTGCATATCACACACCTGATCTTTTATTCTTTCCACAGAGCTACCTGGAAAGGGCTGTCAGCCCGTCAGTGATGGAGGTTTTCATCTCAACGCTTAATACCCTCTTTACAGTGGTGCCAAACATGCGGAATAAGTTTTCAAAAAAGCTCGGTATGGGGATAGTGTGGGATCATGTTCTCTGTGCTCTTAACTGATGGAACTTGCTGCTACTGCATATTACTGAGGCAATGAGCTTAACAAGACTTTATGTGGATGATTATATTACATGTTTATATGAGTAAGAATAGCGTGTGCGGTTGTGTTCAGCAGCATGAAAAAGTTATTTGGTCTAGCAATGGTGATGGGACAGATTTTATATTAGATAAGTAAGTTGTGTCAGCTTTACGCTTTCCTCTGGAATATTCAGAACTGGCTGTTCCTGTAGACAGGGATTATGCTGAAATTATTGGTGGGATTTTACTATGTAGAAATCCTATTTACTCTGTGTATTCCTTACTCTTTGCACAGCAGAGAGGTGATGTATGGAATTCCTCTATCCTAAATGTGTGAAGCTGGCAAATCTTCCCTTCTCCTGAGAAGACAAATAAGTTTCCCCTCCAAACCAAACTTGGAGTAGTTTGCTTTGGGAGAGAAGGCCTAGCAAATGTATTTTTACTGAGATGGCCTGTCCTGTTCACCAGGCTTGTATGGAGATGCGTGGAGATGGTTATGGGACCTGCCTACTCTTTTCCCTTATCGTACGTGTTCTGTGGTCCTTTGACATTTTGGTCTTGCTTTCTGTCTAGCATCTTCCTCCTTCATCCGACTGACACTGGAGCTGAAGGCCAGGTTTTGCTCTGTACAAAGGTATTGTGATGTGTGTATTATGAGTTAAAAAAATTGCAGATGGGAAAGCAGATCATGCCTTGTCTAATGCATCTGATTAGGCAAGACAGGAGGCCGAAAGACTCAAGAGTGGTTGTATCTTATTGCAAAATGTAAATGGTAACTGACAGTGGAAAAGCTGGATGTGGGAGAAAGGAGAAGCAGTCGGGTAGGGGATGGGTGGATTTACACAGCATTGTGAGAATTCTATGCTCTGTCGTGAGCTGTGCAGACAGAGATAAAGCAGCCTGACTTTGGAGTAGTCAAATCAGGGGGTGTTTTGAAAAGAAGTAACAGTAGCATCAGTTCCATCTGAGCTCTGGCTTCCTGGGCACATATTACCCCTATCTTTGTTCCTCGTGGTGTGATAATGTATGAGAAATGGGAGGGAGGAGGAAGACTTCAACAGCAGACATTGCAAAGGGTCTTCTGTAGCAGAAGCTAGGATTACTAGGTTGAGGAGCACTTGGGGAGACTCTCTGTGGATCTGCAGAGATGTTTTACCTCCTCTTTCCTGTGATTGCATTAAAAGAGTAAACAAAATACACAGCACCCCTAATCCAGGTTACCGCTGTGGAAGTTAGAGTGAGGATGTTTTTGCCTGTGAATGGGGTGTGGGGAGAGTGATCGAGGCCTCTGCATACAATAGTACGGGGCACTAAGGATGGTGTGTTACAGTGCAAAGATGTTTGGTTATGTCCTATTCTGCAAGGAAATCAATTGCAGAGAGGGAGAAATACCTGGAAATAGAGCTGTTCTCACCCTTTTAGTTAACATTTTGGCGTTCTTCATTGTTCATCCCTGGAAACACCATTGCTCCAAAATCTCCTTACTGGTGTCAGCCAGTTGAATCAGGTATTGCGAGCCGCCCTCATACACTTCCCATTCTGTGAGGTGTTATGTGAATACAGGGTATGATGATTGTAAAAGTACCCCACTGTATTCCTGTTGTCCCAAGGTATGTGAACACTTTCACTGTCATCATCGCTAGTGCACCCGCCACATCTGTGAGGTGACTGTCCTCTGGGAGCTCCTCATTTTCCTGGAAGCTCAGGTTGGCTCCTGGAATCTTACTGTGATGGGACAGGTGCTTTCATGTGATCATTCAGTAAACAGAAGTTCTGGCAGACAGCATGTAATATTAGAAGTATGAAAAGGGTATTTCTAGCCTTCTTCACTGTATCTTTCTGCTCTTATTCACAGTAATCCTGCCTTGAATCAGGCCTGTTCCAGCTTCCTCTGCAGCTTGTGCCTGAGCCTTTACTCTGCCACAGAGAAAGAGAGAACTTCTTCTCAGGAGGGCAAGTTTAGGGAAAAAGACAAATTACTTTATATAGTTTGAGGCCCCACCACCCTCTATTTAGGCAATAGCTGCAAAAATAATTTAAAAAAGAAAAAGACATAGGAGGAGGGAAGGGAGAACACACATAAGTTCTATTTAGAGAATTTTTTTTCCCCAGGGTTTGGTTTTTTTTTTTTAAGCTCATTCAGCAAGGAGATAACACTCAGAGAATGCCTTTTGAAGAGTTTGGAACCCTACCTGAAATAATGTGTTTCATCTGCTTATGGTTTTGTCTACGTGGTGGCACAGCTGTGCATGGCTTAATTGAAACAATACTACTTGCCACATATTCACACATATCTGCAGATTAAGGTCATTTTTCCCTCTGGCATACTCTGTAAAGCTTTCCTGTCTATACTGTAACTTTCCATAATAGGTAAGTCCCAAATAAATGAGATTAAAGTTTCCACATCACAAAAGCCACTTTTCCCACTGGCAGTGGTTGGTCTCCATACAGGCAGCATCAGCAAAGAGCTGGGAACCTCAAACAGAAGTGTGTTTTCATCCTCAAAGTCAGCTCCATTAAATCAGGTCTGACACCTCTATTTATGCCAAATCATAGAGGTGCGCTTGCTGTATGCAAACTGTGGGATAGTAGGTTGGCTTTGATATTTCTTACATCAGGAACTTCCCTAATTTGATGTGCTTGAGTTAGGGCAGGCAGATGCTTCCATCCCCGTGTTACACTCTGCTTTGTCGCAGACATTCCTCATCATTGCCTGCCTGCTCACATTGGTTTTATTTCCAGAGCAAGAGATGTCTGAGCTCCTGCAAAAGGGTCTGCCTCAATTAAACTACACTGTTGCTGAATGCCTTCTCCTCCTGGCTGAAACCCCTGAGCCTTTCTCTTTGGATCAGTCTCTCTGCAGCCACCAACACTGCCTCATACTACTCTTATACTTTGCCTATACCCTTGGGGACAGGTAAGCCAAGAGTATACAAGGCAAGTGGTTTTGTGGCCATTACATACCATGTATTGGTAGGTAAGGCATGCCTAATGTTACTGTTTCCACTCCAATCTCCTTGAATGCAGGTTTGTCCCAGAAGCAGAATTATTTTTAGCCGTAAGAAATTTCCTCCTATCAGCACAGGACCATGGAGACTGTCCCCCTCCATATATACTCAGAGCTGCTCTTTATCTCCTTGCTGTCGGTCAGGACAAAGAGAAAACCCTGGACTCGGTAAAAGATTTCATGCCTACCTCTTGAACCCTTTTTGTTGAAACTAAGGTTTCTCCCCACTCACATCAACCCTCTTGCAGAAAGTATTTTGACATAGGTGGTGAGCAGTGAATGAGTGAAGTGTGTGCAGTGCATCTACACTCTGGAAAGTTAACTGTGAAAAGCCACTAGGGAGTATAGGTTTGACTGAATAAACTTATGTATGTGTGGGAAGTGTAAATGCGTTGGATAGGCTGTGAATTCACATACAGAATATAATAAATTATATAGCTTCAGTCTCCTGAACACATCTACAGCCTCTGCAGCAGGCTTTCTAGTGTTCCCATATGGCTCTTTGCTGCTGCTGCACAGCTTTGAGCACTGTATAAAGCCTACAAGTTTTGTAGCCTTTGTGATGCAAATGGGCTTTACAAAATGATGTTTAACTGATATATTTGATTGTCTACTTAAAAGGCAGTGTGACTGTTTCTCACAGTAAACTCTCATCACTTCAGCTTTTTGATATTCAGTATCTAGTGATTATTTTGTTCTCTCTCCCCCTCCCCTTTTCCCTCCCACACGCTTACCAGAGGTCATTGTGTACCATAAAGAGGATCCTGAATAATCTTCCAGATCTGAGCTTTGTCTACGTCCACTGTCCTCTCCTGCTGACATTCTTCCTGCACTACCCTGAACTTACGGGGAGATTTGGACATCAAGTCCTCCAACTCTGGTTTTCCTGGAGAGACTGCAAGCAAACTGAGACTGATGAAGCTGGTTTTGGCATGTCTGATCAGCTGAACAGTGCTAACCCATTACTTCCCATTCTGAAGAGCAATTCCAGCATTTTACTTATTTTACTGGTATGTGACTTCCACAAGGACCGGCTGCTATCCCGGCCCTGATTTAGGGGACTTTTTGGTTCTTAAAGTTCTTAGTGCTGTTATGAGGCCAAGGATTCTGCTAGAAGGGCCCATGTATACATACGCAGACTTCTGCCTCCCAGGGAAGCCTGGTGTGGAAAATGGGACTGCGTATGTGTGTTAGCTCTTTCTCTGTCATCCATCTACTATGATAGAAGGGGATCTTTTGAGAGTTGGCTAGGGAGGGATGTGAAGGGTGCTGCTTATGTATGCCATGAAAAAACCCATTCCTTTCTCTATCCAGATACGCAGCTAGGTACTCCAGCTTCTTCTGTGGCAGCCTTTCAAGAAGCTGTTTTGATAATTTGGGAGCAATGGTTTACTACTGATAGATGAGAAGGGTATGAGGAACAAAGCACTTCAAAAAAGCAGCATGCAGAGAACAGATTTTGAGGGCACGGCTTTCTGTTTGCTTGGGGTTTTAATTTTGTTTGCTTTTAACTGGAGGGTCTTGTCAGAGATTTTTGCAGTACTCTTGAGTTTTCAGGACTGCAAATAGCACATTTTATTGCTCTTAAAAGATAAAATAAAAATCTTGGCACAGGGAAAATTAATCCGTGCAGGGCAGAAAGGGGCCTTGAAGTAGCAGGACTAGTGTGTTTGCCTTTAGCTGGCATAACGAGCTCTGTTAACCTATGTAATCATGACAGAATCCAGATCCTGATGGATGCTCAGAGGCCTTCTCTCACTTCCACCTCTCCCAGCTGCCCTGTCACCCCTCCCCATCAGTGGTCACTTGTCCCATGACTGTTCAGCCAGTCACACAGTAAATGCTTGCTAACTTTTCCACACAAGAACATGAGATTTGCCTGTAAGGGCAAGTTGTGGTTTCTTCTCCAGCCTGTTAGAGAAATTCAAATGATATATCATTGAGAACAGAAACCCATGTCAGTAGACAGTGAAGAAGCAAGGTTTGATCCTGAGTGGGCACCCGTAAGGTATTGCAGACTGGCATGTATTTGATCTGCTCTAAGATGCTATGTAGTAATTTTTAATATTCTAGATTACTGAAATGACTGACATGAGGGCTGTTGCATAGGGCAGTTCTTTCACAGTTAGGGTGATATTGCAGAGTAGGTAGCAACATTCAGGCATTCGATACCATTGCAGAGCATTGGTAAAAGTGATCAGTGAGATGACATATCAGTACAAATTAAGGAGGAGAAGTGTGCCATGAGGCTTGCCTACGCTGTTACCTTTGGCAGTAGTTCTGGAACCTATCATTCCATAAACTAAAGCAGATGTATACATCACAGGTCTATCAATAAGCAACAGAGAAACGGTGGCTCCTTCACTTTTCCATCTTGCCATGTGCTCTTGCAGAAATAAATTAATTTAGCTCTGTCATGGTCTTTAAAGTGAGTTGTAATAAATCACAGGCTTTGACAATTCACCTTTCAGCTGGGGAAGAGCATAATCAATCTGAATTTAGATGGGCTAATAAAACAGTGCAATATCCTGGGATAAATATACTGTCAGATGTAAACAAAAGTTATGAGGTGAATAACCTCAGCCTGAGAATGGAGTGGAAAAATGGAATGGCCTCTTCCTGGTACAGTGAAACAAAAATGAATGTCCTTCCAAGGATGATTTATTTGCTTATCTGCTTTTAATAATTGTCTGGATTAGATAGAACAGATGGTTAGTGGCTTCATCTGAGACCTTGAGCTCCTGAGTAGGGAGGAAGACGTTAACGCAGTGATGCATTTACCAGGACCAGGAAGGCTGTGGCCCATGGTTTGTGCCATTTTGTGCTGTGTGTGTTCTTCTGGGGGTGAATGTGGTCATGATCACACATTGTCCTACTGATCTTCTCTGTGTTCCATATCTGAGCTGCTCTCTCAGAGAATGGAGATAGGCCGACTGACATTAGATTACATTCCTGAATGTCATATGGAGTAGATCTATGTCAGCAGAGCTGATTGTGCAGGCAGCTCCCTGCCCCTTATTTCTGAAGGTCCCAGATATGGGCAGGGACCAGGCTCAGAACTAGAGGTTTTTCTGGCATGGGCAGCCTGTTCTTACCTTAACTGCTTTCCTTGACTGTGGGGTCCCACAGCTATTTCTTCTCTATCATCCCAGTCTGCATGACTACTGTGTGATTGGGGAAGGCAGCTGGAAAAGGGAGTAGGCTCTCCTGGCAGGCTGTAGGCTTGGTTGCTGAGACCAGTTTTCTGTTTACCTCTTTCAGCTGTACCATTTGCAATGCAGTAGCCAGGACTACTGGGGGAGGAGAGGAAAGGTAGTTCTGACATAATATATGTCGAGATGATCATATTATTTCAGCACTATTAGGCGTTTTCTGCCTGATCTTTGTGGAACAGCATCTGTACATGCTGTGCAAGTGAATTTAACGTTAAACACCTTAACAACAAAAATATGCCTGAGTTAATGCTACTGGCTGTGGGATTCAGCTCAGAGACTCCAGACAGAGCTCTGTAGTCAAGAGGCGGGCTTGTGGGCTGAGTGCTGTGTACACGACTTTTCCATTTTCCATGACTGAGTGATTGCTTGTCTGGTTTATGTACGTTTCATGCAGTTTAGCTGTTGTGTTGCTACTGCAGATACAAGGCGGCCAGCCTTTTGAAAATGAGTAACTACGGACTGACTCATAAGCTTGATTTTAGGTAATCATCTTTAATATGCAACCTGACTTTTCAAAACAACAAGGAGACCAGAAGTGCCAGAGGCTCTGTGTTCTTGGAAATAGTGCCCTCGCTTTAGGATCTCACTTGTCTAAACCTTTGACCGTATATGTATGTTACCCCTACACTTGTGTGCTGGACAGGAGTTACATAGCATCCTTTAAACAGGATATTACTCAGAGGTGCCTATCAGATGAGAGTTCATCTACTTTATTCAGTTCTCCATTTAATCAGGACATATTTAATCTGAATGGTACTTTATTAGGCTGTTTCCCAAGGCACCAGATTAGCATAATGGTATTAAATAGCAGGGACTTCTGCCTAATCAGGGCAGAAAGGTAACGTGTGTGCTTCTTCGCTTGCAGGACCTCGTCTGCTCAAGCTCTGTGGAGGTGGCTTGGAAGGTGTTGATGACTCTAAGGACCTTCCTGGAAAGAAATGAGGATGTCCTTGTCTGTGACCTCCTCCGGAGTCAGTTCCTACAGATTCTGCAGCAGCTGCTGGTAGAGAGCAGCTCAGCCTCTTTACAAGGTGACTGTGATGTGGTCTTGCTGTAAGATCAACTAGCAGGGTAGATGGCTGAAGGGATGCCCTCTGGGATAAAGTGTTTTTGAACTGCTGATGTAGCTTCAGTACTTATCTGCATGAGGAAATTTATGGACAGAATTGTGCTGATTTAGTTTACTTTTCCAGTGATTCTTGTTTTGAAGTTAGTCTATTTCTGATTTAGGTTGTTCTGGCTTCAAACTGTGATTGTTAAACAAAGGCAAGGTTTTCTTAAACTGTTGTAAGTATTCAAGTGGAGAGCTGTGCTGGTAAATCTCCCAGCTTGAATAGAGGCTAAACTGGTGACTGAAAGACACCCTCCTTTTTGCCTCTTTTCTGTGCAAAGCAGCTTGGTGTGCCTGAGTACACTCAGTTCCCAGGGCACAGGGACTGGGAGCAGAGATTGTTTGAATCATTCATGATATTGATCTCCAAACAGGAACTGTGATATCACCAGATCTCATAATTCTATTAAATCTCTCAAAGATTTAGCAGGGTTGTGACTGGAGGAAATCCCTCTGTTTTCCTTACTAGCCCTGGCTGCAGAGTTGGAACTGTTGTCCCATCATGAACGGTGCTGTGCAAAGCAGTCCTTGAGCTTGAACTGAAAAAGGCAGCAGTGCTAGGATGTCCTTGGCTCCCCTGGGATAGGGGCCCAGCACAGCTTTTGGTTATTCCTAAGGGGGACGCTGACACTTGTAACAGCCCTGCTCTGTTTGGGGTGTTTTGTTGTGCAGCAGTTGGGATGGAAGCAGCAAGAGGGAAAGTGTTTTTGGCTTACCTCCAGCAAAATCAGTAGACTGGAGAAGAGTGGGGTTGAAAGCAGGAGCGTGGTAGGGCATGAGGCTACAAGGTTATGGATAAAGAGGGCAATGTTGGCATCTGCCAGATCTGATCTTGTTTGGAATTTTGTACATTTGGAGTTGTGGTGTCCCTCTGTCACTGATCTAGGGGTGCCAGGGGCGGTGGGGAGGTACATTGTTTTCTGTTGTGGCAGTCAGACCTATTCCTCAAACCGCTGGTGATGGACACTGGGCTAGAGTGGCTTTTGTAAGATTAGAGCCCTTCTGCTTTGTCTAATATCCCCAGCTCCTCTTCATACTGCATCTTGAACTCGTTAGCTGAGTTACTGGTAGCCCCATCCAGAACGTCAAACACCAGACGTACTCTGGAGACATGACTTCCTTGTCTCCCAGCACACAGGCAGCTCTCTGTGAGGTCTGGGGCAGGTAACTGCAGGGGATCTGCATTCCTGTTCAAACAGTAGCCTGCTCTTAGACAGCAAGAAGGCCCAACAGTGGGAGTCCATCAAGAATATGTTCACAGTAAAGACACCCATTAATGTTTCCTCCTCAAAACTGAAAACTCCTGAGCCTTTGTGAAGATATTTTCTGGAGGCGATAGTTGCTTGCTGTAGGTATGGCTATATCCAATGCGAAGCACTGTTTACAGTGCTGCAGAACAGTGAATGTACTAGGGAGGGTGTTGCCCTGGGGAGTTGGTGGTCTGACCAGCTCCATTCTCCTCACATACAGACCTGCTGTGTGGGGCACTCACCTCTACTGTCTCTGCTCTGCCCTGTGGGGCCGGATGGACAACATTTTCTGGCCTCACAAGATGCAGGAGAACAAATGCTGTGCTGCTGAGAGCTCTGAGGCACTGGCTGCTGTCAAAGCACAGGCTACCCGTGGTGGTCAGATAGATAGGAAGAAGGTAGTCTTCAAAGGGCTGATGACTTCTAGCTTATTAAAGGTGTCAGTTTGAGTGTGTGGTGACCATGTCCCTTACATGGTTCACTAAGTGTGTGAAAGACCCTAGCCTCCTTTTTCCCCCTCTTTTCCAGCTGTTCCTAGAATGATGTTGGCAGGATCCAGTGTGTAATTCAGGCCAATCCACAGTGGCAGAAAAGGGGCCTGAGCCAGAGGGGACTGTAGAGATGAGAATTAAGTTGGGAGCATGTATGTTTGTGCATGTAAAGGGGGAATACTTCCTCCCCCAACCCACACTCATTCCTGAGCTGGAAAATTAACAATTCTTGGCACACTTTAAGGTACAACAGTTTAGAGTTCACTGACAAGCTAAGCTGTCTGTGCCCTTCTATAGCTAACAGGAACCTGCCTGTTTTGCTGAGCCTCCTATTCCTGGTGCAGCTGCGGAGCAAGGGTGTCAGGGAGCTGGACAGCACAGACTTCAAACTGCTTCACCAGGGTGAGTTGGTGCATCCATCTTCTCCCAGGGGGCTTTGATCTGTGTTTCTTAAGTGTTCCAATAAGATGATTAGGGGCTGGTTCTTTGTCCTTTGAGAGAAGGTGTACCTTGCATTACAGTTATGGTTGTTTTGAGATACTTTCATAGCTACAGCATTGTAAAGAGCCCTGGTTACCAGTTCAGTCAACAAATCATAGAATCATAGAATGGTTTAGGTTGGAAGGGACCTTAAAGATCATCTACTTCCAACCCCCCTGCCATAGGCAGGGACACAGAATCACAGAATGGTTAGGGTTGGAAGGGACCTCTGGAGATCATCTAGTCCACCCCCCCTGCCAGAGCAGGGTCACCTACAACAGGTTGCACAGGACAGCGTCCAGGTGAGTTTTGAATGTCTCCAGAGTGGGAGACTCCACACCCTCTCTGGGCAGCCTGTTCCAGTGCTCCACTACCCTCAAAGTAAAGAAGTTCCTTCGCATGTTAAGACGGAACTTCCTATGTTCAAGTTTATGCCCATTACCCCTCGTCCTATCACGGGGCACCACTGAAAAAAGACTGCTCCCATCCCCCTGGCATCCTCCCATTAAGTATTTGTAAGTATTAATAAGATCCCCCCTCAGTCTTCTTTTCTCTAGACTAAAGAGACCCAAGTCCCTAAGCCTTTCTCCATATGAGAGATGTTCCAATCCCCTAATCATCTTCGTTGCCCTTTGCTGGACCCTCTCCAGCAGTTCCCTGTCCTTCTTGAACTGGGGAGCCCAGAACTGGATGCAGTACTCCAGATGTGGCCTCACCAGGGCAGAGTAGAGGGGGAGGATGACCTCCCTCGACCTGCTGGCCACACTCTTCTTGATGCACCCCAGGATGCCATTCGCCTTCTTGGCCGCCAGGGCACATTGCTGGCTCATGGACATCCTGTTGTCCACCAGACTCCCAGGTCCCTCTCCAGGAGGTCAGCCCCCAACCTGTACTGGTGCATGGGGTTATTCCTCCCCAGATGCAGCACCCTACACTTGCCCTTGTTGAATTTCATCAGGTTTCTCTCTGCCCAACTCCCCAGCCTGTCCAGGTCTCGCTGTATGGCGGCACAGCCTTCTGGCGTGTCAGCCACTCCTCCCAGTTTTGTGTCATCAGCAAACTTGCTGATGGTACACTCTATCCCTTCATCCAGATCATCAGTGAATATGTTGAACAAGACTGGGCCCAGTACTGACCCCTGAGGGACACCACTTGTTACTAACCTCCAACTAGACTCTGCACCACTAACCACAACCCTCTCAGCTCTATCTGTAAGCCAGTTCTCAATCCACCTCACTGTCCATTCATCTAACCCACACTTCCTAAGCTTGCCTGTGAGGATGATGTGGGAGACAGTGTCGAAAGCCTTGCCAAAGTCAAGGTAGACAACATCCACAGCCCTCCCCTCATCCCCCCATCTAGTCACTTTGTCACAGAAGGCTATCAGATTAGTCAGACATGACTTCCCCTTGGTGAATCCCTGTTGACTACTTCTGATAATCTTCTTTTCATCCAGGTGCTTTGAGATGACTCCCAGAACAAGCTGCTCCATCATCTTTCCAGGGATGGAGGTGAGGCTGACCGGCCTGTAGTTTCCCGGGGCATCCTTCCTGCCCTTTTTGAAGACTGAAGTGACATTGGCTATCCTCCAGTCCTCAGGCACCTCACCTGTCCTCCAGGACCTTTCAAAGATGATGGAGAGGGGCCCAGCAATGACTTCCCCCAGCTCCCTCAGCACCTGAGGGTGCATCCCATCAGGCCCCATGGATTTGTGTATATCCAGTTTATCTAACTGATCTTTAACGTGCTCCTCGTCAACCAAGGGATAGTCTTGCTTTGCCCAGACTTTCTCTGTTACCTGCAAAGTCTGGGTCTCACAAGGACTGGCCCAAACAGTGAAGACAGAAGCAAAGAAGGCATTTAGCAACTCCACCTTCTCTGCATCAGCCGTCACCACAGCACCTGTCTCATTCAACAACGGGCCCACATTTTCCCTAGTTTTCCTTTTGTCTCCTATATACTTAAAGAAACCCTTCCTGTTGGCCTTGACATCCCTCGTCAGGTTCTATTCCAAGGCTGCCTTGTTTCCTCCCTGCATACCCTGACAGCATTCTTGTATTCCTCCCAAGCAGTCAGCCCCTTCTTCCACCTATTGTAAACTCCCTTCTTCCACCTGAGCCTTTTCAGAAGGTCCCTGCTCAGCCATGCAGGTCTCCTTCTTCCCTTGCCTGATTTCTTTCTCTTTGGGATGCACTGATCCTGAGCTTGGAGGAGGTGACGCTTAAATAGCAGCCAGCTTTCTAGAGCCCCCTTGCCCTCTAGCCCTCCCACTAGACCAGGTTGCTCAAAGCCTCATCCAGCCTGGTCCTGTACAAAAACAGGAACAAACCCCAGGTTCTCTGACTCCTGCTTTTACAATATATTTGTTGTCTGAAACCTCACAAGGTGGCCAAAGTGTTCTCCTGGCTGTGACATGATTTCAGGGTCTGTGACTGTTGTTCACTTGGCACATGACGGTATTGCTGCAGTGCTTTCTGAAACATCCTTCCCTGTCCACGCTTGCTAACACACTCCTGTGGGGTTCACAGGGGTGTCCTGTGAACCAGCCATCAGGGACCAGCAGTCTAGTGAACCTGGGCTCTCCCTGGAGTGTGAGTCCAGAGTATATGGGTCCCAACCAGCTGCAGGACTTACCCACTCCACCCCAGAGGCGTACAAGATTGGGCTGTGTTTGTTTACTCACTGTACTGTGACCTGCTGTCTTGCCTGGTGATCCTTACTTGGTGTCTGGTGATCCTTACTTGGTGACTTCTCCCTTCTTATGTGGCTATTGGAGGATCATGTAGGCTGTGAAAAAAGAATAGATACCAGAGGGAACTTCAGCTGATCCATCCTCTCATCTCTTCCCTGCTCTGACAAATAGATCTCTCCAGCAGACTTTGAAGGACTGTCCCCCATCAATTTGAAATGTTCCATGTCTTGGGGCTGCCTACGTTGCCCTTGTAAAGAAGCAGTGTTTCTCAGACATTGATTAGCCAAGGGAACTGGGGTTCTGGAAGAAGCATGTCCTCTTTACACCAGCTCTTTTTAGCTGCTGTGATTTCAGAGCACAGCTCAGCTGCTCCCAGGAGTCACAAGCTCCTTCTGCTCTTGCTTTCTGCTCTGTATTTTTCAACACAACTCTCCCCCTGCCCCAGCCACCCCCCTCATTCCCTGCTTGGCTCCCCAGGCTATGTTCTTCAGGGGTGAGTGTGCAGGGCACTCTCCCCTGATAAGGCCTACGTGAAACCAGCTCATAGACGGAAGGGGTGTGGGGAGGCGTATTGATGTGTGTTTTTTGAGAACTGCTTACTTAGACTTTAAGCTTTTCAAAGTATCTTCTATGACAGTTGTGCTGAGCCCTGCTGTCCTGGATTTCCCTCCCAAACTCTTGCTAAACATTTTTCCTAAGTGTTTGGTGCTTACAACAAACATGGCGGCGCGTTTATTCCTAGTGTGAGCAGAGTTGGTGAGAGTGGAGGAGTACAGCTCTCCATTCCCCAGTCTAGTCACTATGTGAGACAGGCACACGGCTGTTTGTGGTTGACCTAGTATTAGGATCAAAGTCACTCTGTGGAAACAGGTAACTTATAGTCTGTTGCTCTTGGATTCATTACTGCCCAATGTTATATGCGCCCATACCCTTTTCTATTCCCCCCTCCCCATTATCGTCCTCCACTGCACTGTTTGGTCTAAAGCAAACACTCTAGGGCAGATGCCTATTGCTTTGTCAGTACCATGCTCTGTTTATTTTCACTTCAGGTTGTATCGCTGTTGTCTGAATTCTCTCCCCACTGACTGACTTCTTTCTTGTGCTGAGGTGCTCTGTTATGTTGGTGTCTGTTATGCATGTTCTTTTGTTTCCAGTCAGTAATCTCTGTGGGAAATGCAGACCGAGGGACACTGATCTCCTGCAGCCATCCTTGAATTTTTTGTACTGCAGCCTTCATCAGACAACACCTTGTAGTCAACAGAGAGGTGAGGCAAGATTGTATTGATTGCTAAGTTAATCTCAGCAAGGTTGTAGTTTGGCCATCAGAGACTGTGTTCTAACTGTCTCAGCAGGTAAAGATTTTTCCCCTTCTAGACACAACATTACAGTTAACAAAGACCATTTTGTATTTGGGATGGGGTTTTTTAGGTTGAGGGTTTTGTTTTGGTTTGGTTTGGTTTTGCTGCCTTCTGATGATTCAGGAATTGGCTGCTGAGAGAACCACAGTATTTTTCTTGTTCATAAAACACAGCAGTGCCTTGTTTGAAATGTCCTGGTATTGCCATAGTTCAAAAAATTAAACAATAATAGAGAACAGCTCTAACCAACCTTCCAGCTGTGTTAGCTGAAGGCTGGTCATTTCATTAGCTGGCCGAGTGGTCGCTTGTGCTGTGGGAGATGAATACCAGCGTAGCGGACAGCCTTACTCTGATGAGCTGTGGCTGCTGGGGCTGCCTCAGTGCAGCAGGGGTGTGCTCTGCACTTCTCTTCTGCTTGTCAAGCTGATTTAACCTGTGCCATTCCATAAGCCTGTCTGATTATGTTTCTCCTACACAGCCATGGCTGTGCTGCTCTCCAATGTGTCCTTGCTAGAGCTCCTGCAGAAGGTTTTGGAGTGCACCTGGTTGTGGTCCCCTCCCGCTGAACCTGCTTACCTGTCATCTGAGGATGCCTTGCTGTGCTCTGGGTGGCTGTTGGTTGCATCCCTCTTACTTTACCAGCATCGCTACAATACTGAGGTTAGAGCCACTCTAGTGTTCCGGTCCAGGTTATGGATAAGCCTTAAAAAAATAATAATAAAAAAATTAAAATTCTTCATTAGCAGAGGAAAGTGGTTTGCTTTGGCCTGGAATCTGCTTGCCTTGGTTGCTCTTTCGTTATAGTCAACAAGTTATTCTTTGCTGCACTTCTGCAGCAGGACTGGAAGCTAGCATGTTGTTGAAGGCTGAAACCCAAATCATTGGAGAGTTAGAGAGGGGCAGAAATCCTGGGGGGAAAAGTACATACCCAGCCCTCCTTATCCAAATCACTTTCCTCTTCAGGACAGAGCAAAATACATTTTAAGGCCTTTCTCAAAGGAAGGCTGGGAGCGGGAGACATAGCTCCCATGTTGTAAAGTGCTTTTTTGGTGCTAAAATGATCAATAGTGGAACAGTCACAATCCAAACCTATTGTTGGCAAGTGAGTACTCAGTATTAGGAAGCTCATATGAATGCGGACAGCTGTCATTTTATTTGATGTTTTGCAGTCTGACAAGAGAGCTAAGCTGGAGTTGTCAGCTGATAGTGGCATTACAACTTTGAGGGAAGCACTTTCTAATGACAACACAAGGAGATAATGTTTCCCTTTGAAGTATCTACCCAGGCCTCTCTCCCTCTCTTGGCATGGAGTTAAACAGCATGTCATGAGTTGTGAGCTCTGCCCCTCAGAGTGTGTTCTTTGGGAGTCACTGCATCTATTCATGGATGATAAAATCACAGTAAGGACACACATGCATCTGCACAAAGAGGCAAGGATTGGTTTTCTAATGCTGAGGGAAGACTTTTTCCAAAAGGCCAAACCAGACCAAGATGGCACCTGTTATTTCACAGGTGTGCTGCCTCTGCTTAGGTCTTACAGCATGGGACTTGTATGGACTGTCAGCTGTGTGAATGCATAGCAAAACCTGCCTGTCTCTGCTCTGTTAATGGCTGAGCACAATTTACCTTCTCCATTTCCAAGACAGGGCTGGGCCTGGATGGTCAGTGTTGTGCCAGTCCCAAAAGGGATTCAGTTCTAGCAGCTAGTGTTGACTTTCATCTTGTGGGACTGACTCTCTTAGCTTGTATTGATCCTTGAAGTGCAATCGTTTAGTGGCTTATAAGCCTGTTGTTTGGCTTCGTTGATACCTTCCTGGCTGCTTGTGCTGTGACCTGCAATCCAGAATCCTTCTTGCACCAGAGATGGGGAAAGAAACTTAAGATGCAGGTGGCAAATGGAAGTGTTTCAAGGATGCTTCAGCATTTCTAAGCTTCAGTGTTTCTAATCTTCTGGTGAGGGAGAATGAGAGGGGACAAGAGGAAGACTCACTTCTCTTGCTGCTTTCTGGTGCTCAGTATTGCTGAAGCTGCACAAAGCATCCTGAAGGCCCTTGTAGAAAGTCTTTGGCCTTTGTGGCTGTGAATGTGAGCTGATGCCAGGCTGTCTCCCTAAGCCTGCAGTTTTTTAGAGGGGAACAATGGCTTCAAGAAATGTGAGTTGCCCACATTCATCTCGGGCTGGTGTTAATAGTGAGGACTTGTCGGGCCATAACAAGCTTGCATCTTAACTGTGTTACTGCTACTGGCTTTAGCAAAACCCTGTGGATAGACATAGGTCATGGATGGTAGGCTGTTAAAGGCTTTGGCTCATCAGTTCTTAGACCAGTAACCACTGACACCCTGTTGCAGGAGGTACTCCTAGCTCTCATATTGAACATTTCTGTAGTTAGAAGATGGTTGAAGGAATCAGCCCTGCAGTCCTTATGCCTGCCCTCCCATGCCAACTGTCTGCCTTACTGAAGAGCTTGAACCCTTCTGGGGCTCTGTGAGCCTTCATGCCATTGCTGCTGGATGGCTGCTCTGTGATAGAAACAGTGTTTTGCAGACTGCTCTCTCAAGCCCACCTTTCCTAGTTACCCTAGTTTGCAACTTCCTAACCTCCTCTGCCTCCTTCACCCATGTTCCTAGCCCTGGGCTCTTGGCAGGCTTCCTGGCTCCAGCAGGCAGGGCCAGATTCTTGTTGTTGCTGCTGGCTTTTGGGTGCCTGGCTCCACAGTCTTGCTGACTGACTGCATAGCTAGGGCGCAGCCATGTTTGGTGATGGCTGTTCCTACTATTCCATGTGCTCGTCAGTCTGCCAGCCATGTGCCAGAGGGCCTGCAGGGGGCAGCGAGAGCGAAACAGGCAAAGGAGTTGCACTATGGTTTGGAAGCTTTGAAGGGCTGGCAACTGCTGATGGGTGAAACTTGAGAGCGCAACTCTTCTGGGATAGACTCCTGAAACACTGTTGCTGTTCCCTTGTTTTTCAGTGGTCATCACGGGTAGTATCTAAAGTCTGAAAGTATATAAGGGAGCATTTTATCTGGTCCAAACCAGCACCATTTATTCTCTTATATTTAATTCTCCTCTAGGTTCACCAGACACTTTCTTTAGACCTAACAGAAGTCCTGAATGCAGTCATCTTCAGGAAGAAGAAGCCAATCCTTCTGTTAGGTATCTTGCATCTGCTACAGGGGTTTGACTGGAAGCAGCTGCTAGTACCATGTTACAGGCAACAAGGAAGAACTGGTGACTATGGGATGGGAAGGTGCAGGTGCTGGTGGGAATCTGGAAGGTTTGGTCCATTTGGCTTTGGGAGTACGTAACTGGTGGTAAGAAAGGGCAAAAGGGAACTGTCTGGAGTTCGGCTGTGTTTGCACAAATCTTCTTTGGAGGTTGCTAGTGACATCTGGAACTGAGCAAGAACGGGGATAGTGTCTCACAGGAAGGAGATGAACATGGGAACTCACGTTGCCATTCCTGCCTGCAGCTGTCAGCAGCTGCTGGGCAACTCTGGTGGGCCCTAAGTCCAAATTTTCTCTCCTCACTTCTCCCATGCTATTGCACAGGCACCAACACACAGGGCAGGGGAGAGGAAAGCACTGACACACACTAATAAGCAGCTCCCTGTCTAGTGAGCATCATGCAGTTCCTGAGAGCTGTCCTGCGACAGAACTTCTCCTCCTCTCTGCTGGTGATCGTTGGCCAGAACACAGCTGAAGGTACGACACAACCGCAGCCATCATCACTGCAGGACGCTGCCTTGCACCCCCTTGCCATGCAGCAGGTCTTCTCACTTGTTGTCAGTCTGCAGAACCTTTTGGTGCACATCCAGTTGCAGGTATATAAAATACGACTTTTGGAACAACACTAGTGTTGAGCTTCAAGTAGGTACACTAACTTGAGGAGAAACCACCCTGTTGCAGAACTTAAGGGACTGCTTTTGGTTTTTTATATCTACTGCCTGCATTTTTCACCCATTGCAGACATGTGATGAGGAGGAGGGAAAATGTTCTTGCTGCAGCATGGCGCAGTGAGAAAGAAGGTAAATCAAGCTATGCGGTACTCCCTGCTGCTGAACTGGATAGATGAAATTCTGTGTACTAACGACAATCTCTGTTTTCCCATCTCCTCCTCTGCGGGGGTGCCACACCCGCAGGGACAGAGGTGGGAAATGTCCCTTCCCCACACCCCTGGCAATGCGCTTTGGGGGGTAGTACCTCAGTGTACATTTAACTTCCTCAAATGATATTGGGCTCCAGGGGATAGTACATCGGTTTACATTTAACTCTTTTGAGTGATGCTGGGTTGCCATCTTTATTCTTTGGAGGCTGCTACTTAATTTTTTTTTAGTCTCAGAATGAGTAGTTGTGCCTTTGTCTGGCTCCTTGACGTGACAGATAATTTGCAGCACATTGCATCCCGTGAAGGAGATGAAAGTTGTTATTTTCCTGTGCTGTATGCTCTTCAGATCCTGCCACTTTATGATTTTTTCTCTTGCAATAGCTGTTGACTTTTTTTTTCTTCTTCTTCTTTTCTCCCTCTTGGTATTCCAGAAAGACTTGCTGCTCTCTCAAGCCGTGGTTGCCTGTCTGGAAACCTTAGTGGAATACCTGTATGTGAAGAATCAGGATGTTGGTAAAGTCTTCCTGCCCTTTCTTCTCCTGGGTTTCCCTCCTGCAGCGATTTTGAGCTCTTTGATCTCCATCCAGTAGCACCCTGGAGCAGATGCTTAATGAGTTTATGCCCAATGAGGAAAATTATTTGTGTGCCTAAAGTTAATCATATGCTTTGTGGGATGAAATCACAGTGCCTGGCTCCCCTGCAGGCATGAGCCCTCACTTCAGCTCTGGACAGCAAGATGCTTTCCAGAAGGAAAAAAGTCATTCACCACCCCCTGATATAGTAAGAGTGAAAGGTTTAGGAATGGAAGGAGTATAGGAATAGTCTTTCACTTCCAGGCAAATTGTAGCAAACCTTTAGACCATAAATATAGGGGAGGGAGGATCTGAATGTGGTGTGTCTTCCACACGGGCAGCGTTGATCACAGTTTGGCCCTGAGAGAAAGGAAGGGAGAGCAGTGTACTAGGCAGCCCTAGGGAATAGAATTTGGAAATTCTAGATTCCTAGGGACAAATACAGACCTTGGTTTCCGGAGTCCACGTCAGACCTAATGTGTACCATGTTAGCAATATAACATAATATGGCAGAGTTGTGTAGCCGGAGGGAAAAATAGACCCTTCTGCTTATTGTCAGCCTCCTGCCACAAGGCCCAGTTGCTGGCTCTGACCTTAAAACAGGCAGAAAGTTCTCTGTACCCTGACCTGTTCAATTCAGTCATTTAAACACTGAGAGAGAAGGGGTTGGAGTGAATGAACACCAGACAAAAGGGACACTGGTGGGAGAGAGGAAGTGGTTGAATGAAGATGTAATACTGCAGATGAATGACAGCCAGTAGCTGAAGGGAGGCTATTAAAAGGCTGGGTTTAAAAAAAAAAAAAAAAAAAAAAAAAGGTGGCATGCTATCGGGAGGTTCCGCTGATTTGGGATTATGCTAATGAAATGCTGCTTCAGCAACAGCTGAACCTGTCACTTTGGCTGCCTAAATTCTTGCTGTGGTGCAGAAGTTCACACCACCAATAACAGGAGTCTCCTTATTCCAAGCAGAATGAGAATCATAGCTATGTTTGACTGAAAGATGCGAGAACACTGCAAAGAGTGTGGCCTGGACTCTGCCTCTAGGAGTTGCCTCATTTGAGGCTTTCTAAAACCCTTTCTCAGTCCAGAGATTTTCCCAGATGTATAGAGCAGGCTCAGTGCATGGTACTGGTACCTTCTAATTTCCACCAGCTAAAAGATAACCCCAAACATTTTACATGATTTTTTAGTGTTGTTTTCCCATAGAAAAGATTCTTGTAGTGGCAATAGGAAGGTTACTTGACTGCCAGTGGAAAAAGGACCTTTCTGAAACTCGGGTGAGTTGCATGGTGTGACAAGTTGTATCAGCTGACCTGTTGTAATTGTCCATCCCATGCAATAAATACATCCTAACCGGCAATAAATACAAGGTAATAACACTTAACTTTAGCATTCAGTGAGAGACTTCTCACTGTCACAGCCAGTGTCCTTGAGCTTTACCGCTGTTTATCATATATACCCCTTATTAAGAACATTTTCTCTACTGATTGTTTGCATTACTGCCATCAGCCTGTCCGGTCCCTGTAGCACAGTCTCTGATGCAGATCCAGGCTTGATTTGTGCAGCTAATGTTATAGGTCTTTCTTCATTCCCCAAAGAGTATTCTGCAGCTATATAAAACCCGTGGTCAGGAAACTTGTCCTCATATTGAAACCAGAGGGTATTATTTTTAAAACCCTGGGCTAAAGATATCCCCTTACTATTTTATGACATGCACCCCAGGAGAAGGTTTCTCTTCCTGTACCAGCGCAAAGATGGACAAAACGTATTTTCTGCTTTGAAAAGCTATTAAGCTTTTGTCCTCATGGCTAAACTCTTGCCCAAAGAGTGACAGATTAAAAAGCAAGTAAGAACAGAGCAAAATATCCCCTTGGTGTTTCACAGCGTGGGATCTAGAAGAGAAAATTTGGGGTCAGTATTGAAGACTGTCCCTATCCGGGTCCGGCCTGTCACTTGGCTGATTTTAAAGCTGTCTTTGATTGACTTCTCCTTCTCTCGCAGCTCTACATGTTGCTTCACAGCCCTGGCACCGATTCCTGCTCTTCACACTGCTCAGTGGGGGCCAGAAGTCCTTTCTGCAGCCAGAAGTTCTCAGGCTGATGACTTTGGTGAGCAGGGGAAGGGCAGGGTGTTCTCAATTTTTTTTCCAGTATGTTGGTACAGTGCATGTGGAGCGGTCATTGGAACTTACCCCCTACACACACACAATCTCAGATACTGCCATGGCTTTGTTTGTCACTATATTTGTGCCCTATAGTAATGATACTTTCAAATTAACTTCCCTTCCACACCCTGCAGAAACTGACTGCTGTTAGTGAGCACGTCCTGTTCTTCTGGTGTTTGTAGCATTTATTTATATCATCTTAGGCCCCTGGGGATGGCCACCTACAGAGAACATGCAACTGCTGTTTCCAGTCAGGGAGCATGCTGTGGCTCTCTGGAGAGCAGCACTTTGCTTGGCATCACAGCTTGTCTCCTCATCTTTGACCTTACAGACGTGACTTTTCAGGGCAGGGAGTTACCACAGTCTACTACCCTGCTGTACCTGGGAGCTGCGAGCAAGAACGGGAATGTGGTCCTACCCCACAGAAATACTCACGATAAAGCCCTCATGGCAATAGCTGAGAGGGTGGTTATTAATGTGAACCTTACCCCTCCAAATACATGTTGGTCTGTGAATCTTTGTTGTTCTTATTTCACTTTTTAAAGGTTACTTGGTTCATTTAATTTCCTTCCTGACCTAAACCAAAATAAGTCTGGTTATAAATCAGAGCGCTGTCAAAGCGGATATTTGCGCTGGTTCTATTAGAAGTGATATAAAAATCAGGCCTGTGGTTAAGGTGCTGCAGCATCCCGTTACACAGAAGAGGTCTTTCCAGGAGATGAGTCACTGTTGGAGTCTCTGGGTCTTTCACTGTTTAATGCCTCTATTTTTTCCTTTGTTCAAGTTTCTGAGATATCAGAGCAGCAATATTATTTCTCAAAAAGAAATTAGCCAGGTTCTCCAGGAGGCAGCAGAAGCCAACTTAGCAGAGCTGCCTGATGCCACATCTCATGCTCTTCACCTCTTCCTTTGTCAGGTAAGGGAGCAGTGACTGTCTTGGAAAATTAAAAGGGAGTCCCTGGGGAATTGCTTTAGCCTTTGATGGGGAGCCATAAACTTCCTTTGAGGAGGTTATAGGAAGATGAAGAAGAATCCTGCAGCTTCTAGCTTGGCCTACTGCCTTGAGGGATGTACAGTGAAATTGGAAAGAGAGAGATGCCGGCAGCTGCCTGCACTGTGTCGTCATATTGTGCGGCCCCTTGATTCCCCCCAGAGCAAAGTTTGAAGGTCTCATTGCTCTGTGGGGAGGTATGAAGGAACAAGCCAAAAAGTTTCCTGTTGGTCTGGAAGTCATTCTTCCTTCTGACTGCTCAGATTCAGAGCAGTCATTGCCAGGTGGAGCCAGTGTGGTCAGAGACCATTCAGACCCTGCTGGAGCGCCTCGTGGGACAGAGGAGCACTTGCGTGAAACATCAGGACATTGTGTATCCTTTGCTGGGCAGATGCCTTTGATAGGTGATGTGAGGGTGGTAGGCGTAACAGAGGTGGAAGGGATACTTAATCCTTCCCTTGTTCTAGCTGAAGGCAACAAGAAGTGGGAAGACCCTGAGTGGTTGCTACACTTGGCTAACTTTGGGATGAAAGATGTCATCATCCCCAAATTTGAGAAGACATTTGGAAAATGAGGAGGCATTTGGGATGAAAGATGGGTCTCTGCTGGAATTGTGTTCATCTGCATGGCAGAGGTGTCTGATGAAAGGGGAGCAGGCCAGGGAGCCTGTAACTTCAAAGCAGTAACGATCCCTGTATTGATTTCCTTGGAGGATGAACAATCACTTAACCTCTGTCTGTGTGCTAACTAGCTCCAGTATGCCTGTGAAGTCATGGAAACCCAAAGATGACTTGAGCACTTTCAAAGTACAGCGAGCATTCGGAAACTGCTGAGTGGAGTTACCGAATTGTGTTCTGCTTGGCCTTGAGAGTCCTCTCCTGAGAACTGAATCCTCCTCTTCTCTGTGGATGGGAGGCAGGGCCTGCTCCGAGGTTACTTTTGGAGAAAGAGGGAGCCTGATGCAGTATGTGTTTATTTCTCAAACTGTCTGCTTTTGCTTTCCTGTTTTCATCACGCTGCATTGCCTCAGACAGGTAGCAGTGATGGAAGTGGCCTCGGCAACAATTTCCTGCTGGGGTGGGGGCTTTCTTCACTGTGGAACACTGTCATCAGCCATGTGCAGGGTATGTGCCAGGTGAGGTGTTTGTTATCTGTGGGGAGTAGCTTGTCCTCGTGCTTACCCCCAGTGTGATACTACCGCTCTGTGGTGGGACACTCAGGGCACAAGCTGTTCAGATGGAGACCATCCATCCCCATGAAGGTCCTCTCCATTGCCTTCGCTTGTCTGTACGGGCGTGAGGGAAGGTGGACAGAAGGTCTTGTTACATTGCTAAAGTGGCTCCTTATTTTGGGGTTTTCCATAGATGAAGAAACCTTCAAATCTTGGTTGTTAGGAAGGGTTTTGGATATGATCAAAGAGCAGCAGTGGTGGCTACCACTGACACTATGTGTCAGCTGTGGGAATTCCAGTGCCACGCTGGAGTTTCAGATATGCCTTCTATTTGATTTCTGCTCATGCTGTCAATGACAGATGTCTGGGAGGTGTGGCAGTGTCCCTCTCACACATTGGAGACTGAAATGAGAAGATACGGTGCACGCAGCAGAGGAACAAGGCAAGAATGGAACAGGAGACCCCATCCTGTCATTTATTCTCAGTGAGTAGTAGAGAGAAGATGAACGGAGGGAGTAATTTGTAGCTCATTTTCAGAAAAACATTTGTTGAAAACCATTTATAAAGCCCGGTTACTGAAACGGCTCCTTGTTTCCTTTTCTGGGTGGGATGAAGCTTGGTTGATGCTCTTCAGTTACCAAAATACAGACTTGACAGGTGAAGGCAATGTCATGCGTGGGTGGCAGGTGCTATGGAAGAGGTACTCTGCTCCCCTGCCTTAGCTGGTGGTGCTGTGGGATGGCCCCTTTCCTCTGGGCTGGCACGGATATTGGGGGGGGCTCAGCCAGGACCCCTGGGGAAGCAGATGTGTTGCTTGTCCCACTGGGGCGAGGAGACTGCTTTCAGTTCACGGATCATAGAATGTTTTAGGTTGGAAGGGATCTTGAAGATCATCTAGTTCCAACCCCCCTGCCATAGACAGGGATACCTCCCACTAGACCAGGTTGCTCAAAGCCATATCCAACCTGCCCTAAAATACCTCCAGGAATGGAGCTTCCACAAGTTCTCTGGGCAACCTGTTCCTCACAGTGAAAGATTTCTTCCTATTATCTAATCTAAATCTACCCTCTTCCAGTTTAAAGCCGTTCCCCCTCGTTCTATCAGTACATGCCCTTGTAAAAAGTCCCTCCCCAGCTTTCCTGTAGGCCCCTTTTAGGTACTCGAAGGCCACTATAAGGTCTTCCCGAAGCCTTCTCTTCTGCAGGCTGAACAATCCCAACTCTCTCAGCCTGTCCTCATAGGAGAGGTGCTCCAGCCCTTGGATCATCCTCGTGGCTCTCCTCTGGATATGCTCTAGCAGGTCCATGTCTTTCCAATGTTGGGGGCTCCAAAGTTGGACGCAGTACTCCAGGTGGGGTCTCAGCAGAGTAGAAAGGGAAGAATCACCTCCCTTGACCTGCTGGCCACGCTTCCTCTGATGCAGCCCAGGATATGGCTGGCTGTCTGAGCTGCGATCGCGCATTGCTGGTTCATGTTGATCACAGTGCTGCTCTTAATCCATCCTCCACCAAGTCTGTATTTGTGCATGGGATTGCCCCAACACAGATACAGGACCTTTCAGTGTGACTGTCCAGCCAGTTGCTTATCCATTGAGTGGTCCACCTGTTGAATCCATGTCTCTCCAATTTAGAGACCAGGATATCGCGTGGGACGGTGTCAAATGCTTTGCAGAAGGGATGATCCCATAGGGTACAGCCCCAGCCCCCCCGGTTGCCTGTTGCCTCCAAACCCCTTTCTCGTCGGGGCTTTAATTAACGAGGTTCCTTCCCTCGCAGAGCCGGGGGGGAAACCCTCCCGCCGCCGGGGCAGCGCAACGGGAGGA